GTCTGGATAGGACTTGTCGTTGTCTGGAGCTGGTTAAGTCGATGGTCAATGTATCCTCCTTGTGTAAAAGACAATAGATCGTCCTTTAACGTATCTAATTCGCTTTTAAATTTACTAAAGTTTTCCATTTGTACTTCTTGTTTCTTTTGCTATTCTTGTATTGCTGCCATTAAGTCTGCTAGGCTGTAGTTTGATTTGCCGCTTCTCGTTTCCATTTTTTTTATATCCCATTTCTGACACAAATTTGTTACGTCTCTGTTTGTTAATTGATTTCCCGTAAATTCGTTCCGACGAAACTTTAGCGACACAAGTCCTTACTTAATAAAACTGGTTTATTCTTTCCGAATATAACGTTACGATACACTCAACTTCAACAGTCGTGCTATAACAAACTATAATAACGACGTTAACTTCAACAATACTTTCTGACTGCAGTTCAATTACTCATTAACTACACACACACATTGTCACGTCACGCCGTGACCATCTTATATATACCAGACCACCCCCCAATCTAGTAAATGCTAGAGTACTCCCGAAGAAACGGGATAGTTCTAGAAAGCAGGTGGCGTGACAATAGTCACGTGATCTCGCTGACGCAACAATATTAAGGGTTCTCTACGTTTCTAACACAGAAAATAACACATGCTCTGTACTCTATCATCAAATTTGGGGGTTATTTAAAAAAAAATTGAACTTATTTTGAGTCCAAAGTGAGAAACTTGCAAAAATTTGCTTATTGTCAACAAAACTATTAGGTCGTCAAGAAATTAATGTCGCGTTTTGGAACACTTTCATTAACCACCCCCCAAAAGACGTACATCTCGTATAATAGTTAAACGAACCGCCTGTATAGCCTGTATAACGTGTAAAGTTTAGTATACTCTAATCCCTTATAGTGATAGCACAGGACGAGGCATACATTTGATATGTAATGCTGTTTGAATACAATAAGGGAAAAAACTCCTCTGTAGCCACAAAAAATATCAAATAAGTTTATGGAAATGTTTTGAACGTTCGTAAGTGTCAACGATGGTTCAGCAAATTTCATTCATTAACCTTAAAAACTGTGATGGCAGGGGCCAACATGTTGGAGTTGATATTGATGTGCTGAAGACGTTTGTTGAGTCTAACCCAAGGCAACGCACTTCTGAAATGGCCCTGAAATTGCGCGTCTCTCATGAAGCAGTACGTAAACATCTAAGGAATATGGGAAAACTATATAAAGAAGGTGTTTGGGTGCCTCACCAACTCTCCGATTATCATCGTTGCCAACGTGTGAACGTTGCTTC